ATCTTCAACTTACTTTTGGTATATTGCAGAGAGGCATTAAAATGAGGTGATTAAGAGTTTGAGGAGTCAAAAAGATAAAGTAACAGGAAGTTACTTATTCTCTCCAGCCTCAAATCCCTCCTGTGTAAAATGGGGATAATAATATTAACTACCTCATAGAACTGTAGTGAAGATTAATGAGGTAATCCACATGAATTGATAAACACAGAACCTAGAATATTGTAAGATCTCAAAAGTGGTAAATACTGTTTTCATAAATCGTATAGCATAAGGATATTTCCACTCATAAAATATTCTGCTATAAATTCTGATTATTTGCTACATAATGAACATGGTATGAATGTAACATGGTGTATTTAACTATCCTCTATTGATCATCCTTTCTGCCTTTTCATCCTACCAACCTCAAATTGCAGTACTGAAAGATTCTATGGGCAAAATATTGAATGATGCAGGAAGCATCAAGAGAAAATGGAAGGTGTCAGCCACTTGAAGGGGGATCTATGTAGGAGATCCTGGATAGAGTGGGAGAACAATGTGGAACAAAACTCAAAATCATTTAAAAAAAAAAAAAAAAAAGGACAGGTTTGCTGGACTGATAGAGCCAAGTGAAACCCCTGAGACTATGGCCCCTAGCTGCCATTCAGGTCTGGAATTGAGCCCACTCCTGTGGCTTCCAGCCAAACAAGAGACAAACGTATGAGCTGAACATTTACATTAGGTGGATATACTCCTTAGAGAGATCAGTCGTGGAAGAAAGAAGATAGAAGGGCAGTGTATGCACAGGGAAACAGCTGGGGGCAGGCAGGAGTGCAGGAGAGGGAAGGACACAGGGAAGAGGTAACTATGGGGAGGAAGTGGGAGGAGAGCTGTTACGTTGTGGGAAATTGCAGTCAATGTCATGAGACAAAATGTGTATGAACTGCTGTATGGAAAATGAACTTGCTCCATAAACTTTCACCCAAATCACAATAAAAGTTAAAGAAAGAAAATGGAAGGAATACACAGAGTCACTGTACAAGAAAAAAAAAAAAAAAATTGGTTGACGTTCAGCTATTTCAGGAGGTGGCATATGATCAAAAATCAATGGTGTTGAAGGAAGAACTCCAAGCTGCATTGAAGGAATTGGAAAAAAAACAAAAACAAAAAAACAACAAGGCTCCAGGAATTGATGGAATACTCATTGAGATGTTTCAATAAATGGACATCATGTTGGAGGCACTTACTTGTCTATGCCAAGTAATTTGGAAGACAATTACCTGACCAACTGACTGGAAGAGATCCATATTTGTACCCATCACAAAGAAAGGTGATCCAACAGAATTTGGAAATTATTGAGCAATATCATTAATATCACACGCAAATAAAATTTTGCTGTAATAATTCAAAAATGGTTGCAGCAGTATATTGACAGGGGATATCCAGAAATGCAAGCTGGATTCAGAAGAGGACATGGAGTAAGGAATACCATTGCTGATGTCAGTTGGATCTTGACTGAAAGCAAAGAAAACCAGAAAGATGTTTACTGGTGTTTTTTCTGACTATACAAAAGCATTCAACTGTGTGGATCATAACAAATTATGGATAATATTGAGAAGAATGGGCATTCCACAACACTTAATTATGCTTATGAAGAACCTGTACATAGATCAGGAAGGAATTGAACAGAAGAAGGAGATACTACATGGTTTAAAATCAGGAAGGGTGTGCTTCAGGGTTGTATCTTTTCACCATACTTATTCAATCTGTATGCTGAGCAAATAATCCAAGAAGCTGGACTCTATAAAGGATTGGAGGAAGACTCATTAACAGCCTGTGATATGCAGATGATACAACCATGCTTGCTAAAAGTGAAGATGACTTGAAGTACCAACTGATGAAGATTAAAGACTACAGTCCACAGTATGGGTTAAGAAAACAAAAATCCTCATAACTGAACTAGTAAGTAGCATCATGATAAATGGAGAAAAGATTGAAGTTGTCAAAGATTTCATTTTCCTTGGATCCACAATCAACACCATGGAAGCAGCAGTCAAGGAATCAGTCATCATATTGCACTGGGCAAATCTGCTGTAAGACCTCTTTAAGGTGTTGAAGATCCAAGATGTCACTTTGGGAACTAAGGTACACCTAACCCAAGCTGTGGTATTTTCAATAGCTTCATATGCATGTGAAAACTGGACGATGAATAAGAAATACCAAAAAAGAGTTGATGGTTTTGAATTGTGGTGTTGGCAAAGAATAATGAAAATACCATGAACTGTCAGAAGAACGAATAAATCTATCCTGGAGGAAGTGCAGCCAGAATGCTCCTTGGAAGCGAGAATGGCCAGACTTCATCTCACCTACTTTGGTCATGTTGTCAGAAGGGACCATTCCCTAAAGAAGAAGATTATGTTTGGAGGATCAGTGAAAAAGGGGAAGGGCCTCAAGAAGATGGATTGACACAGAGGCTGCAATGATGGCCTTAAATATAGCAAGCAAATATTTATGGCTGTGCCTGCTCACTGCTCCCATCCCACCCTCAGCTTGGATTGTGAACTCTTTGAAGACA